CACTGCAAACCAATACCACAGGAAAGGAGAGTGCAGCCCACCACCCACCCTCCCCAGCTGCCCTATTTTGCATTTTACATCTCACAGACTACCAGCTCCCTCGGGAAGGAAGCACTTTGAGTTTGCTCATGGCAGGAGGAGCCCAAAGGCGTCGGCCGGAGCATTGGCAGGGCTGGTTTCACATCCTCGCGCTGCCGTGCCTCCATCAGGTGCCATGTAAATCCAGACCAGTGCCTGTTCCTTTTCATTAAGAGCCTTGAGCTCACTGCAGAAAAGATGAAAAGGGCTGGTCATTATCCATTACATGTGAGCCATTCACTTGCTGATAGGCTGGTTTTCATCTCCCTGCCCTGCCTGTAGGCAAGCATCCCCCAATATCCTAATCTGCTTTTTTTGTTCTCCACCATTTATTTTCCTGGGGCCCTTGTCAACGGTGCCTCCCTTCCTTCCCCATGCCTCCCAGCGCTGCAGATTCAGAAGCATTAAAAGGTTCCAGCTCACGCTAACAAATTCCAGAAAGTCTGACCGTTTATTATGAAGCACACGTAGGAAGGATTTGAGAAAAAGCACAATGTAACGAGAGAGCCAGGGAGATGCAGAGCACGGCCACATCCTGGAAACGTGGAAAGGTGAATGGGAAGGGGAGGTGGGGAGCATTTGGAAGCCCATTAAATGAGGGCTTATCATCCGATTTATGTAAATCATTTCAAATCCCTTCATTTATTAAAAGTATTAAGCTGCATTACTGTTTGCCTTTGGTCTCCTAATTTGGTTGCTAATGTCTAAGACAACTGTTGAAATTAATTTGAAATTAATGTTCCTATATAATTACTTAATGAATATCACATTCACTGCCCTTAGCCCTCAGTTGACAAAGGATCTCGCCCACCGCATGTAAGAGGTTGGAGTACTGACTGTGATTTTAAAACGGCTGCTAAATTATAGTTTGCAAACATTTTACATTTATATCACACACTTCATCTTGAAGGATCTCAGTGTGTTTGAAATGTTACATAACATTCATTCTTTAGTAAAATTCCATCACAAAAACTTTCTGGGCATCAATCTTCTTACTTCTCTGCATGCCTTGGAATTAAATCAAATTTAGCTGGATTATTATGCAAACACAAAATCATACCTGCATTAAAAGATTATTATTAGGGCTGTAAAGTCAGACACTTAAAAGATAGGAAATGCTGGAACTGTAACTCTGTGCAATATAAATGCCTTTTTCCATACATATGTATACTCATAGTCTTTAATTTTATGATCATGTATTTTCCTATACTTGCCCCCTCCCTCAGGGGACTTATTAGACCTTGTTAGTGTTCAAGAAAAAACAGGATAAGAAAAAATAAGGTTCAAGAAAAAGCTAGAGGGGAAGGGAGCAGCTTGTGGAGTCCTTGCCTCATTCCTTACAAAAGCTGCAAAGGTTGTAATATTTGTTCCTCCTTTTCTGGGTGGCTGACTTGATACCCCATAAATCCTGATCGGCAGAAATGCTGAATATGCACAGCAGTAACTGAAGCTAAAGAAACATTTGAACGTGCACAGCATTTTACATACTACCGAATCCAGTGAAACATGAGGTCCTGGGGTCTCACACCAAGCACTTAAAATTAGCGTACACTTCAAAGAGGGGAAAACACTTCTCTGTCTCCCAGGGACAGTGGAAAATGTATTAGAGCATTTGCAAAGCACGCAGACTGCTGTGACAGAGAGACCCAAACTTACTCACTCGTTCCGTACAGCACAGTGCGGACACGGTGCAGTAAGCGGGGAACAAGACCCGCAGTGACCCAGGTGCAGAAAACATCTAGGGAAGCTGTTCGTGCTGTTGTGCAAGCTAGCGGAGGGAGGCAGGGAGCTGATGTGAAAACAGCAAGGGCTTTTCTGAGACAAAAGAGCTGAACTGAAGGCTTTCCAGACAGCCTTAATTCAGATTGCTCACCATTTTGTGTGCTTATCTGTGACCGCATTTCTTCTTACAGTGTATAGTTTCTGAAAGATCAAGGTAAAGCGAGAACGCCAGACTCATTAGCAAACAGGGATCCTTCAGATCTTTCTTCTGAGTTAGCCAAACAGTGCTTTGCCTTGGGACATCCTCAGCACCTAGGCCAGAGCGAGTCAACCTTCCCCACCCAGCAAAACACCACCTCAATCTTCACGGAGAGGAGAGGAGAGCTGTAGACATGTGCCGCATACCCTGCCATGGCTCAGACTAATGACACTGTGTCCAAGAGTCTCATGACTTGGCTGAGTGACGGGCTAGTGAGGACGTTATGTCCTCAAACACAGGGTGACATCAACCTCTTTGTGACCTGAATCTCCTCCCCACAACAGGGAACAAAGACTACCCAACAGCCCACACCCAGACAACCGCCACATGCACACCTCCACGTGTTGTCCTACTTTCTTAACCGGAAAGCCCAACCTCTCCTGCGCTCAGATCTTTGCCAAACCTCCCTCTCTCCACGTTCCCACCCTTGCCTGCCTGCAGATCCTCCTTCCCAAATCCCTGTCCTCTCTCAGCGTGTCCTCCCTCATGCCCCCAAAGCATTCCTGTCTCCTGCACTTCATGCCTTCCTCAGGTAACAGGGATCACCGGAACATCTCCAGGAAAGACCTCCAAAGAAAACATCTCCCAGCACAGACAGACTAAAAAACTCAAGTCTCTAAGCACATGGGAAGATTAGCTCCTTTTAAAATTGTATAGCAGGTAAATTAGGGTGAATCGCTACGGTGACATCCTGGCCAATCGCCTCAACTTCCCTCTAGAACACCAAAGCTGCCAAAGATGAAAAAAGTGCAAAACTCTTTAGCTTGTCTCAAAAACCGTCTGGATTTTTAAAATTTTAGACAGAAATAAAACAGCCAATCTGAAGTAGAAAGGTTCCCAAGTCATTTTTCTACTGGAAAGCTTAAGAGGAACCATATGACCATGCAAAAAACTTGAAGGCAAAAAAAATAGAGTGGTAATTATACAGGCGATCAGCCTCCATGAAGTGCTTGATTTTGCAATAAGCTACTAGCACTCTGCACATGACTTCTTGTTTACTCCTTCCCAACAAATTCCCTTACACAGACAGCATGATCATATCATCAAACCAACCTTCAAAGCAGATCGCTCTTTTTTTTCCAGCTGGGGGTTTCAGGTCATGTGCTTGCAGTTGAAGGTTATTGTTGCAAGAGTGCAGAACCATCAAAACACCTCAGCCTAGGCTTCCCTTCCAATTCTGCTTTTGCGAAGAAAGCAGAAAAAGATACTAACACAAGACAACTGTGGCTCAGCAAAAACTAAGATTTCCTGAAGCAAAGATGCTTTTCCAGCTCCATGGCTTCCTCCTGCTGCTTGCAATTGATGGGATAGGCCTGCTTTAGCCAGGTTTCCAGAATCCTGTAATGGAAAACAGCTGTCCCTATCCAGAGACTACACCAGACATCTCCATAATTCTTCCATCATCTTCTTTTGGTCAGTCTCATTACTCAGCTTCCCAATATTGATGTATTAGTAACACTGGCAATCCCAGGACTGTACTGAACATACGTTTTTCTTAAACTCCCAACACTAACTTGAGGATGTTTGCATTGCTATTTGCCACTCAACACACAGACTTTTCATTTGTTATTTGTCAAAAAATGCACTCTAGGACTTTATATTCTACTGGGCTGGGCTGTGTGAGCCACACATTTCAATCTGAACAAGCCACTTACTTGAGCATAGGGCAGGTCTACTTAAAAGGCCCTCCCTTTCTTTTCCCAGCAGTACAGAACTGCACAAAGCGAAGGCACCCAACATCATCTGAAACATGTAGTTTTGCAGAACCATTCAGATGGCAGCAGGCGGCTTGTCTTTACAGAGCTATCTTCACAAAGCAGTAAAAGTCACAGTGAATCTTGCCTCCACCTTAAGTACAGCACTACCCAAATAATTTAGGGAGAGAGACGCTTCCTAGCGTTTTCCACTAATAAATGCAGTTATAACCTAAGATACTCAGTTATTTAGTTAACAAGGTTAAAGCATTTAATACCATTACTGCATGTCCATCAACTAACATCTTTATTCTGAAAGCTCACTTTAAATAACAATTACATCTGCTTCTCTACAGTGAACTGCTGAAAAAGCAAGCAGCCAACTGAAATTCCGTGAGTACACAGCTGCATTTGCCCCTTTATTTAAAAAAAAAAATTAATTTGCAATCATGGCCTACACTTCTAGGATCACCATGTCTCCCTATGTCTTTGCATACTCCAGCTCTAACAGCTCCTTCAGGGAGGATTCATAGAATTGGTAATAGGTTTTGTAATTTCCACCTTCTGTTTTCTAGTTCAGAGAGTAATCAAATCCAGTCACTACCGCTGTATCTATCTGGCAACTATTTGTTGGCCTCCATGAAATGAGTTGGAAGTTTGATTTCCGTTCTCAGCAGGCATGTTTGTGTGATACAGACGAACTGCTGTAACTGGCAAATTGGAGGCAATTTCAGCAGAGATTCCTAGGCATGAGAACAGAACTTTTCACCCCCAGAGAGGTCTCCTCTTTAACAGGCTTGAGAAATGACAGGACAAGATTGGACAGTTTGGATTTCTGCTGCTGGAAGATGCACTTTAAAGTGTGTTTTATCTTTCAAGTTTATCAAACTGGCACCCACATGCAATTACTAACAAAAATAAAACAAGTCATTATGAAATAAGACCTTGAGGTAAAATAAGCTTCATCACTCCCCAAAGCACCTTTCTACCTCTGCTGCATTTTAATTGGAATACATGAGTATTTTCTTTCTTTTTGACATCTCCACATCTCCCATGACAGAAACGCTCACTAGTTTTCATTCTGGTAATGCTTATTTAGTTCCCCGTGATGGCAGCTGGTGCAACAGTATCAGCCACTGACAGATCACCAGTAGCATTCTAGGCAAGTCCATGAATTGTGTCACACAAGGCATTTCAGAACCAAAATACAAGTTACCAGGTCAGTAGAGGCTGAACATAGGACTAGGTTAAGATTAAAAACTTTATTTTTTATACAAAACAATAATAAATCCAAGCAGATTATGAACTAAGCCTCTCATTTTCCACCTTTTCTTCTTTTCTCAATATAGTCTGTCCACAGTTCAAAGTGAAACCACTCCATATTCAGCAAAAACTACGAGGTTTCCATCTTGTATCCATGTTTTTCTAATTCAGCTCTGTATAGAAAAAAATAGGTATATTAAAACATATAAATAAAATACTGTCAGACATTCGAATTTTTAAAAATTAAATAATACAGCACAATATACAATCATTTTAGAATACAAACATGTCATACTGCTTTTCAGTTCGTAACAATAACCTTAACCTCATTTACTCTACAGTTCTTCAACTTTTGTCCCCATGGACAAATTTTCTAGAGATCAGTCAACTATATTCATGTTAACTATAACATCAGTCAACTATATTCTTGTTTTTCAGCTTAGTATCTTAGATCACTAGAAGTGATATCTAAGTGAAAAATTCAAATACTTGGTTTAATCATAATTATTGCCCTCTGACTCAGCATGGCTGGAGTACAACTATAGGGCACAAAGCACCACCTGTGAGCCTGCAATAACTCCAGACACATTAGAAAAAACAAAATATTATCTTACACAGTTATTCTCAAGATTTCCTTAAAATGAGCTCACTAATCCGAGTGATTTAAATGCATGTACTTCCAAAACAATTTTAGCTTTTTCTTTGTTTTAAATAAAAATACGAGTGCGCATTATTTTTAAATCTTGGTGCAATACACCTTCCAATGAACAATTCTGAGGGAAAACGATTGCTTTGTTCTCCTTAGTAGTGGCCACGACAGCAAGACAGCAACCGCAAACGTTATCACTCCTGCCCTATCCCATTTTCCTTCTCACCTGCCTCCAAACTGCATCCTGTTCTATCTCCTAGTCTTAAGCATATATGTACCTAGATACCGTAGTCCAAATATCTTTCAGGTTAGTTTATATACTTAGCGGTGGAGTTTTAAAAGTGGAGGACTGCAGCATTTTCTTTCTAAAGATGAAATAAAAACATGCTGCAACCAAGCAACATTGTAAACCATCATTTTAACACTAGCATACCATCATCGATACTACAGGCTACAATTAAGGCACAGTTATTGAAGGTTTGTCAAGATCAACTATGTTTAGCAAGAATTACACTACCCCTTGGAAGTCTGTTTCACTACATATCATCTTGTTTTCCAATATTACAGTTTAACTGCCTTTCAGCCTTGTAAGAAACAACTATACCAAAGACTATTTTTGTATCTTTTACATAAAGGATTCCTTTTACCAGAGTACAACAAGGGAGATCAACCCAGGAACAGTTTAATCAGGCTGCATTACAGATAGTTTGCTCCTCATGCAACATACCGAGGGATTAATTATAAAATGGGACTTTGTATTGACGCTTGAAACAATTTAAGTTATAATTATGCATCAGTAAAGGATTAACTGAAACTACAAGTGACAAACAGAGAGGATTAAACAACTGGATTAGAGGTACCCAAATTGCTATCACTTTTTTTAAAGCATGAACAATTACTTTGCTGTTGTTGCTCATAAACAGCATGCTCATCACATACAAGAAGGGAACCTTAACATGAATATAGTTGACTGATCTCTAGAAAATTTGTCCATGGGGACAAAAACCAGCAATGCTATTTGAAGGTATAGAAAAAATTTTGTAACAACATACTCTGCATACCACATAGCATAGAAGAGATAATCTTGGATCCCTTGCCGTTAATCTTTGCAGCACAATTCAGAATTTCCACACGTATGTAGAAAAGTCCTTACAAAAGGATTTATTCGTGTTTAAGTTGGCAACACAGTAAAAGCCTGAACATGTCATTAGCCGTATTTCAGGGCTCACAATACAATTATTAAAAGATGAAATGCTGATCAGTATTTCAGTGTGCTGCACTCCCTTAACTCTTGTTCTGAAAGGCTTTAGACAGAAAAGCACAAAGCAGAGCTTTATTTGTTTCAGATCTCTATTTTTTTTTAAAGTAAGCCGATTTCAAACTTTCAGATATTAACTAAACAATGCCATTTTAAACATTTTACCCACTTTTTAGAACAGAAAGTTAAAAATAAAGTTACCGTAACTGATTGGAGAAATCATCTTCTACATTGTCATCATCCCAATTGTCTTCCCAGACATGTGCATCTTCATCTTCATCTAAACCAGTCCAATCTAGAGACAGGAAAACAGGTCTCAATATTGTATGCTGCATTGCTTTGGTACTGTGTCTTAGTGACAGATTAGTTCAGCCTCTGGGCAAGATAGACTTCTGCTGGTAACTTTAACAGAACAGTCTGGATCATATTTAAGTGTTCATGAAACAGGAAGATCTAAAAAACACCTCACAATTTCTTGAACAATAATAAAAATGCAACTTGGTTAGAAAAAAATCATTACACACTTCACATCATGGCTGGCAGGATTACACATTCCTATGAGACATTCTGCATACAAATGAAGAAGCTGTAGCACCATCATAAAACGGAAGCAATATTGAGTACTTGACTCCTAAAAGCTCAACAAAAGGTGTGCAATTCCAGGATTGTATTAAAATACTTTTTTTCTGATTAAAAAAAAGTAAATATATATCAAATGCTTTTGCCAAAACACATACACATAGATCCTCAGTTCACTCAGATCAGATGCAGACAGTGTATGGATAAATGCCAAAAAATATCTGGGATGCAGAAGCAAAGGCAAATTGAGACAGGCATCTGCAAACAGCAGTTGTTACCCATAACCAGCTACTTTTGGGTTCCCAAGACAGCAGAAGCTGTTTCCTTACAGAGGCAAGACACTAAATGTCCATTTGCTAACCTAATTTCTATTTTTCCTATAATAAAGTAATGCGGCACATCACCCTTGACAAAATACTGATCACCCACTTACTACTTCATCATTAAAAAAACTTAAGATCAAACTAACTAGTTAATTCAGAAAAATAACAAAAATGAAAACTCAGGAAGGTTCAGAATCTCTGTGTAAATACAAGTCAGTGTACTTCACTGCGGAACACAGTTTCTCAGTCTTCTGCTACTGAAAGACACCAAGTTTTTCTAATGTTGCCAAAATAAGAAGCACCCTAATTATGACACCTTGGATTTCTCAAAGCCTGTTAGTATATTTAGAGGCAACAATACTATTCCCCTTACAATTCAGTAACACATCTGCTGCCCATCCAGAGAAAGCTTTGAGGACTACGGCGCAAAGTAACATTAAACATTGATGCAGGTATGGAAAAAAAGTTTTAAAAGCTAGTAGGGCAAAAGATTAAAAACTAATTCACTGTGAACAACTAACTTTCTAAGAACGAAGGCTGATCCTTGACTTTTCTCCTCCTTTTCCTAACACTGACAGGCAACAAAATTAATATTTGAGATTCACCAGGACAGGAAAATCCATTTGTAACTGATAAAGACACACAAATTAAACTTCCTTACTCAAATAAATTTTGTAATGGGAGAAGATGAAGGAGCATAGAAATCCTACTAGTCCTAAGGATACCAAAAGAAGGAACTGGGAAGAAAAGGTGAAGAAAAAACACAGTATAAAAAATTGCATTATTTTAATTTAGCTGTATTGCTAGATGCTCAAAGGGAACAACTTTTATTTTAGAATTATCTGCAATAACCTTTGCCTACTTATAAGCAATGGATTTTTGGGGGGGGTCAAAATAAAAAAGCTTTACCACTTATCATTTATCTGGATTTCAAAGATAGAAAAAACAAAGCTCAAAACAGTTTAAAATGAACACAAAGTCTAAGTTTTCTATCTACTAACATACAAGTAGCTCAGACAGATCTACAAATTAAAAAAAAAAAAATCCTAGTAACTAGTATCCAGCACAACAAAGAGCAGCTTCAATCATAAAAGGTCAGTTGGGGAGACTGCAAAAAATGCTCCAAATCACACTAAGCGAAGAAGAGTCAAAAAGACCCATGTCATCTTCCACATGAGGCAGGGGGAAGAGAGTGAAAGTAAAGCCTAAATTATATTCTCATTGCTGTAGCTACAAGATTCTACAGTATATGCATGTTGGCACTATACCCCAGAATTGCATACTAAAGTTAGTATTCTCATCTACATTATATGCCTGTGACTAAACAAAAGTAAAAAATGATACAGCATTATCTGGGATTGAAAGTATTAAGAGCATTTGAGAGCCTGCTGCCATTAAGTATTACTAATACAAATCAAAATTACAAAATCCATTTTGATAAACTTGTCATGACTAGACTACTTAAAAAAATGTATTTTAATATACTGATCACCAACTGCTATATTTTACACTTGGAAAAGGAAAACAAAAAATATTTTTCAGGGTAGAAGATAAAAAATCTAAAATCCTGTCATTTTACACATTACATTTTACATTCTGAAAAGCACTGCACAAAAAAGTACTTAAGTGACCAATTCACATACACTTGAGTCTACCACGCTATATTTATGCTTTACTTCAAATAAATGGTCCTATAAAAACAGGACAGGTCTGGTTTTGGTACATAAACTTGGTTTGATGAATTGTTTGAAGAAAATTTTTAAGCTGGAATAAAAGAAATTCTCGAAAAGTCAGTGTTTTTATCCCTTAACATAAGCTTGCATTATCTAATTTCCTTTGGATAAAAACTGGGTAATAGAACCCAAAGTTTTTCTGCTGCATAGAAAGTGGTGTTTTTAATTTGAAAGAACAACAATTTGGCATGGGTTTGAGCACATAGTTATGGTTCTTTCCTAAGCACTGAAGATAACATTCAGAGTGGTCTGAACATTCTTTATAACATCTCAAAACTATTATCTCACTTGAAGATTTAAATAGGCCTCTTTAAAGGTTCTTATTTTTTGCAAGACAGATTAGCAAGAAGCCTGATTGTGGTCACTCTCTAACAAATCACTGTTCTACCCAGAAAGTTTGCACAGTACTTGGTTTTAGTAGTATAGCTAGATTCAAGTAGAATTAATTTCAACTTCTGTAACTGCAATTCAGCGCTCTGACAAATTAAAGGTTCAGAAGCATGCTTCAAAGACTTCCTTCATCCCTACTGCAAACACTTAATTTACATTAAAGAAACATTTTCTGCCTGTTTAGGAAACACACACAGAAAAGAAGGGCTAGTCTTCACAGCTCAGCTATGTTAATAACTTTGCCAGTAAGTGCGAAAATGTTATTTTTACTGGTACTGAAGGATTCAGACCACCTAAGGCTTGTAAAAGGCCACCACAAAAAAACCCATCACATATAATGAAGATGCTACAGAAAAAAACCCTCTAACATTTCATCCACCACGTTTTATATCACGTTATCTGCAGCTTGGGACAATTCCCAGAATTAAGGACATAGAAAAGAATCATGCCCTAATAGGGAACTTTTCAAGATTGTATCTGTAAAAGGACACTGAGTTGTTTTATTGAAGTCCAGATTTAATCTCCTCATTCAATATATTTGCACCGATGAAAACCAAACCAATACATAAATATTTGTGCTTCAAAACGTAAAGCGGCTTAGAATAACTACAGAGCACGTCATTTCCCTTTCACGCTTTTTCCCACCTTTCAGGCAGTTCCCAGCCCTCGTCCCTCCTCTCCCCAGTCATTCTCACCCCCGGAGCCGAGATGCAGCGAGTCCCTCCCGCACAATGACGCAGCACTGCGAGCGCGATGTGCCCAGCACCGTGAAACCAGCACAGCTGGGCACAGGCTCTGTTCGTGCTTCACCCCGACTCTGACGGGGCTGTAGCCCCGCACCGCTCACCGGGGCGGG